GGGCATTTTACTTTTAGCGTTAGTTAAATTGTGTAGTCGGCCGGAGACGAACGCGGCTCTATTACGAACGTTATTAATGTGCGTAGTAAATGACATACGCGAGTCGAATGTGACTCCTAAGTATTTGACCTTTTTCTCCCAGGGGAGCGGTTGGCCATAAAGGGATATTTGCCCCAACTTTCTGCATTGGCGAGGGCCATTATAAAGATGTGACGGGTAAGTACTTCGTGTGAAGTGAATCGCCACACTCTTTTCGGGATTTATTTCTATTCTCCATTTGCGGAACCAATCGCCGAGGCGGTCGGCGGCGCTTTGGAGTCTAGTGGTTAGTATTCTAAGGTTGCGGTCTGAATAAAAGAGCGCGGTGTCATCCGCGAAAAGCGCGAGATTGACGTGGGGGTCTTTGGGTATGTCGCTCGTGTAGAGCGTAAAGAGCAAAGGTCAGAGGCAGGAGCCTTGTGGTACGCCGGCCGTGAGGCGGCGGCTTGTGGAGAGGGTGCCCTCGACTCGATACCGAAAAGGGCGATTCAACAAAAAGGCCCGGATGGTGTTTACGAGCCTATCTGGTACTTTGAGAGTGTACAGCTTGCAAAGCAAGCCGTTGTGCCAGACTTTGTCGAATGCTTTTGCGACATCGAAGAAAAGAGCCCCTGTACTTATATGTTTCGGGTGGTTTAGGCCTTTTAGGATGTGCTCCGTTAGGCGATATAACTGATCGGGACAAGAGTGTCTAGCTCGAAAGCCGAATTGTTCCGTCGGCAGAAGGCCGTTGGAAAATACGTGCTCTTTGAGCCTGTTTAACAAGAGCCGCTCGTAGAGCTTCCCCAGGCAACTGAGGAGGCTGATGGGACGATAGCTAGAGGGCTGATTAGCTGGTTTATTCGGTTTGCGAATGCCGATAACCGTAGCTTGTTTCCAGTCGTCCGGAAACGAGCAACTGGAGAGTAGAGTGTTGAAAATGGTCGCCAGTAAACAGATAAGCGGCCCAGGGACAGCTTTGAGAATTTTATTACTTATATTATCTGGGCCCGGGGCGGATTTCGGTTTAAATTTTTAATAATATCTTGGACCTCTTCGGGGGTCACTGAATTTAAAGGTTCGCCTTCCGGTGGAAGCGCAGCCCTAGTCTCGATTACGCCGTCCACGTCCGTTAGGTGGACTGTATCGGTGTGTTCGCGCGATGGCGTACATTGCTGCTCTAGGTTGTCCGCAAGGCATTCGGCTTTTTCGGAGTCATCTAGGGCTACTGAAGCGCTATTAGGTCGAACTAACGGCGGTAGAGATTCGAGGGGGTCTGCTTTCAGACTGCGGGCCAAGCGCCAGTAGGCGGTGTGCGATGGCTCGATGTCCTCTAGGAGTGTCCCACGTTTTATGTCGGTGTTCCGATACACGATCTTTGACTTCTAGCTGAAGGCGTCGGAGTAGAGTTCGGTTCGATTCCGATCGGTATCGGTCGAAGGCGCGTATGGCTGCATTTTTCTGTCTAATTAGCAGTCTTAGGTCGGGTGGAAAGTTAAACCGTCGGTCGCCCGACAGTTTCACCGTCCGTTCCGAGTCTGTGACTACGGAAGTAATAGTTTCTCGGAGACTCGCTATCGCTCGATTTGCGTCATCGAACGTAGCTATCGTCTCGGGTAAGTCTACTAAGTCCTGGGGGTCCAACGCCTTGAGTTTGACCTCAAGACGATGCCAGTCCACTACGGATTTGGTCGGAGGGACCGCGCCGGCGTTCTGGCCCAGTTTTACACAGGACGGGCCTGTGGTCTGAGTCTAGTTCATGGATTGTCTCTATCGACTCGATGTCGAGCGAGACATCCCTGAATAACATGATGTCTAGGACACTCGGTGACGCGTATTGGTAGTTGTCCACCGTAGGATACCTAGTGGGAGTCGCGGGAGCGACTATGCTAAAGTTTAGGTCATCGGATAAGCTAAAAAGATGCTTTCCGTTGTTATTTGGGATGCTGTTGGTGTCCCATGAGCCGTGTTTGCAGTTTAGATCTCCTGCAATTATCACGGAAGGGCCTAAGTTAAGTAGCGTATCTAGGTCGCTTTGAGGTAAGGTTCTATTCCCCGAGAGGTAGGCTGAGACTAATACAAGCGGCCTGTGGCCGGTGAGCGCTAACCTACACGCGAATGCCTCTATTTGACTTAGCTCTGGAATGTCGAGCGGGCAACAATGCAAAGACCGTTTATAATAAATTAATGTGCCTCCCAGACGGTTTACTAACCGGTCGTGGCGAACAATGTTGTAATTTGCGATTCTGGGATCGCGTACACTAGGTTTCAAGAATGTCTCTTGTACTAGAAAAATATCTACGTTATGATCGCGAAGGAATTCCGCGATTTCGTCCCTTTGACCCTTTATGCCGTTTGCGTTGAAATACGAAACAACCAGAGCCCGAGGTTTTGTTCTACCTGCGGTTGTACTTCCCATTAAGGTGTTTTTATGGGTCTAATTAACGACGCGGCGGAGCGCGGTTTTATTGCGCGGACTATTGTTTTTTTACGGTTGGCTCGTAAAAGCCCAAAGGGCTTCCACAAGCGTTATATGTTGGCTAATTGCCCTAAGACGCTCGTGGCCAGATGTGGCGGCCGCTATTTTAGCGGACAATACGGCGAGTTCCTGCCTATTGATCCTATCTAATAAGCTGCAAATATTAGCGATTTGCGCGAATGGGTCGTCCTTGTTTTCCGCGAAAACTGACGGAGTTGGCTGCACCTGCGGCCGCGGCGCCGTTTGAGAGGCGGGCAGCTGTTGTGCGATCGGTCGTGAGGCGACCGGGATTACCGGCGCGGTTACCTGCGCGGCCACCTGGGGTTTCGCCCAGGCGTTTATGACGGGTACGGGCGCGGGAATGAATTTAACGGGCGCGGGTTTGGGCAACGTGGATTTCGCGGGAGATTTCCTCGCGGGAGATTTCGGGGCCTTAGCGCAGCCTCTGTAGCTAGCCGGGTGGCCGGTGGCGTTACAGTTTACGCAGTCCGGTGGATCTGCGCAATCTTTCGGCCGCGTGCACTCGGTAGTGCCATGGTCACCGGTGCATTTGACGCACCTAGGGTGAGCGAAGCAATTGTTGGCCGTGTGGCCAAAATGTTGACAGTAGTGGCACTGAGCCACAACTCCTGACTTGCGCGGGGGCTCAATGACTAAGTCACTGAGCCCACAGACCCTCTTCAGGTTGAAGATGGCCTTACCTTCCGGGGTAGGGTCAAGTTCGACCATGACCATGTCCATAGGGACACGGGTGCGAGGGTGTCTGAGGCGACGCACGGCGTGCACAGGGTATCCCTGAGTGCGGATGTCGACCTTAGCCCTATCGACATCCGATTCTTTCGGGACGCCCTTGATTACAACCCGAAGTTTTCTTTCTTCGGGCAACGAGTCGGTGTGGAAAATTATCTTGTTTTCGCGCAAGTACTTAGTTACGCGGCGGAAGTCGTCCGTAGTGTCGAGGTATACGCGGATACCCATATGCGTGTTTTTCGACCGGGGGTCGCGGATATTGTGGCGTTCAAACCACGAACAAATTTGGTGCCACTTAGCCTTCTCCTGAATGATGATGGGTTGAGGGAGGCTTTATTTTTCGCTCAGAGGCGAATTCGGGCATCGGTTTAGCCGCGGCGGCCGCCTTTTTAGCAGGCGTCACGGTGGGACGGATCGTTGAGGCGGCCTCGCAATCGAGGTCGCTGTCGGTAGCGGGGCGTTTCTTGCCCTTTTTACGCGATTTAACGACGGTGAAGCCGTCGGCGTTCGCGTTTTCAGCGGGGGTCGTTTCGACCTCCATGTCCGATCCGCCGTCCGATTGTGAGTCGGGTACGACGGAGCGAAAAGAGGTCGGGTTTGGTTGCACGGAAGGCGCTACGGGCGAGTTCGCGTTAGCGGATGCCGACGCGACGGGGGCTTCTAAGGTCGCGGAGGGCGACGGGGTAACGGGCGCAGACGGCGCGGGCAATGGCAGCGACGCGAGTTCAGCTACTTGCCTATGCTCGGCTGCATAGGCAAGAAAACGTTCCCACATATCGGGGCATTCCTTGCGTACGAACTCCTCGAAAAGGGAGCCCATCGCGGCGTAAGTGCCTTTGGGGCTTGTAGCCCCGCCGGCGTGTGTGAGCTAAATAAGCCTCCCCACCTTGCGGCAGGGAGGTGTGTGCCTAAAAATAACAACTAATTTGCCAGCGCTTTAGGTGCGCTAGGGTGGGTACCTAGCTGTCGCCTATTGCAACAAGTACACAGTTAATAAATGAAACAATGCCGCCTCTGAGGCGAGAAGTGTGTGTAGGATTCTACTTACAAAACAGGAACCTGCCTACGAGCACAACACTCCACTAACACTAAACTACTGCACTATTTGCACAAGATTGAAATTGCAACCGAGGTTGCGAGTGGCGTCTAATTCGGGTGGCATGTGCCCTCCGTCTTAGAGAGACGTCCGTTCCGTACGAGAGCACGAAGCCGTAATAGTTGGGGATGAAGCTTTTCCTCTTTGAAGGTATGTAATAAAACCTCATTCACCGTAATAATTTAACAATGGAACAGCAAATATGTAACTATAGATTGTCGAGTGTAGCAGAATCTGTAGAGATGTAGCAGAATCGTAGAGAACGCGTCATGTATTAGCAAGTTGGTTCCGAATATTTGAAAGACCACTTCGGCTTGCACCAAAATCTGTTAGTATCGTTGTCAAACCAGGTTGTGCATTACATAATTAGCTAAGGATTTTTTATTAATATATTCCATATTTATACATCTACACATACTCGTACATGAAAAATAGTAAAGTTAAAAAGGGTGTTTTCTCTTTAATAATTTAATAATATACATAAATAAGATAATTATCTGAATATGAACAGAACCAAGACATGGTTTTTGTGACAAAAACGGACTTTTCAAAATCATTTAATGTGGGAAAACCGATAAATTAAAAAAGCTGTATACAAGTGATCGTTTATTATTTTTCACTTTTTCTTAAGGTTTTTTCAGTACGTAAACAGAATCAACACAATTTCATGACAACTATTGGCAGCCCGGCAGTTGGATCATTAGCTTCCGCAGAACGATGGGTATCCTTAGCGTCTCTAGAACAACCTGTACCAAAAAAGTAAGTTAAGCGGACTTAGTCTTAAATTATAATAATTTTATTTTATAATGATTTTAACGTGTACGTGAGCACGTAACCGATGAATGTGATAATAATTATATATATACATAGACAATAAATCATGACTGAAAGAGTGGTAAGAGTAAGCGATTGATCTAATATGACCGCCGCCCATGGATATCCTGAGACATGGACAGGATGACAGAATACCTGAGGAGATGCAGATGCGTAACTAAATTTAAAAAAAACAGCCCCGGGACCTGTTTATACCTCACTCCCCAGAAGAAACCCAAAAACATAGTACTTCACACTCACGCTGGTATTTTGTGCGGCCATTGCAGTCCCGCGGTATAACAGTAATTGCTGTCCTACCACACAACAGATACAGATTTTCACTGTTCCATATGGATAAGTAGTACACCGGCGGTAGCTGTCCTAGTGGAGAACTACCGGCCGATCTCAAGGTGATCCGGGCGTGGGGTGTGATATTGAATGCCGTAACCTTCCGGGACCAGAGTCGAGAAGTCGAGAAGACTTAAAAAGGCCATTGGATTGAAGTTGGAGCGCGAATGGGATGTAATATTGAAGGCGGAACCGCGTGGGGAGGAACTACGTCAATTCTTCCCAGGAGTGAGCAATTTAGGGCTACTTGGGTCACTCCCGACTTGCCGATCTCACAGATTTTGACCGGAAATGGGTCACTACCGTGATCTCCTCGGGATGTCGGAACCGAGAAATCAGCACTGTCACTGGAAGACAGGCATATATGTATAGTGTATGTGTAGTGTAATTCTTTTTTTAGATTTTTACAGTAAAAACTTACAGCATTTTGCAGCGCTTGTATCGGACGGATGCGGTGCAATGCTCTTCAGTTCGCAGACGATAAACCGTTTACCGCCCTTGGCTGCGCCACCTTCATCCTTCCCCGACACACCGCTGACGTGCTTCGCCAATGGGGCGGGATCGGCGAGGCCCCGCGCACGCGCCAACTGGCTGGGCGCGCACAGCGGGTCCGGCAGTACTAGACATGGCGGTTCTCCCCCGCACCCAGTGCGGCGGCAATCGTGCTGAAGACCGTTGCGCTTGATGCAATGGCAGCTGTAATACATGATGCCGCCGCGCAGCTCGCGGCTCTTGATCCGTTTCAGACTGTTCTCAGTCTCCGCTTTTTGTGCGCCACCCTCCTCAGCAATCGGCGCGGCGTCGGCGGCCGGCCTGCTCTTCTGAAAGTTCGGCGCACAGTCAGCCACCATACACGCGCGGCCCGCTACGTCCGCCGTGTTGTAAATGGTTTACCGGTTGTTGGGCAACGATCGAGCGACGACGCCATAGGCTACCACTGAGATAGCAGATCGAAGTCGCTGAAGCGAGTTACGTAGGTCTTGCCGGGTGGTGGGCGACGCACGCACGGCGGACAACGAGGCGGGCACGGCCGCGGGCAGCACGGCCCGTCACGACATAAGTATCGTATCGAGCCCTGCTGGAAGAACTGGAGGTCCTGGAGGCCATTCCTTTTGAATGCCGACCGCGGGAGGCACTGGAGCTGAATACATTTTCATGTTACCATTAATTGTTATTACGCCCCCGAACACTGAAATAAGTGCCATTTGTGAGTAAGAGCATTTGACATTTATAGCGAACTGAATTATCCAATGATGCATTAATAAAGATGACGCATGTCCATACTGAGCGGCGTTTAAAAATTGTTCGCTTTTACATTATTATATGAAATGTTATTATGTGCCAAATAAACGTTTCTTTCTTTCTTTCTTCTTTCTAAATAAGTGAATTTGACACGATATAGAACGTATGATACGGAAAGTGATAGAACAGTCTATAGAATTGCAATCTAATTACACCAATAGGCGTAATTTTAGTGCCTCAGTTTTGGTGCGCTGTTTATCAATTATCTACGTCGTATATTTAAATATTATTGGATTTAACCATAACTATGTTACGATGATGATAATTATTATGTAATACCAGAAGCCGCGATAGCTCACTGTCACTGTTCGATCCCCGGTGCCGGCACCAATGAAGTTTTTAACTTTAAGTGCTGACTTATCACGTGCTCCGCGGTGAAGGAAAACATAGTGAGGAAACCTGCATATTTTCGAAATAATAACAAAAAAAATAGTCCGAAGATATGTGAAGTCCGCCAATCCGCAGTGGGGCCGCGTGGTGGACTATGCCCTGATACCCTCTGTATAGAGGAGGCCTTTGCCCAGCAGTGGGACATGTATAGGCTGTTACTTTTTACTTTATATTGTTATAGTAAAGTAAAAATTTAGAGCTTATAAATGTCCCACTGTTAAGCAAAGGCCTCCTCTGTACATAGGGTATTAGGGTATATATAATTCACTATGCCACCCGATTGCGGATTGGCAGACTTCACATAATTATCTTCGTAATACTTTTTTAATATATCGAAAATAAATGCAGGTTTCCTCCAGACGTTTTCCTTCACTGCTCAGCACATTGGTCAGCACCTAATTTCCTTGTACCGGCACCGGGGGTTGAACTCCGGTTGCTCGAGTATATTGAATTAAAGGCGAGCGCCCGGACACTGAGCTATCACGGCACTATAACAATATAATTAAATTATTACAAATAATTCGATGTAATTTTATGTAGATGAAAAAAAAAGGAATATATTTTAGTCCGTTAAATATATGAGTTTTTGTTAGCTCTCAAGCGAATATTTTATAGTTTGACAAGAATGATTAAATACGAAGCTGAAATAGAATGAATGAATTAAAATGTATTTTATATAATAGATTCTAATAAATAGAATTGTTTTTGTCATCTGCAAAATAGTAAAACTATGTTGTAGAAGACTAAAACATTCGATTTGCTGGTTCTTACCGAATTGATCATAGCCGTGATAGCTCATTATTTTCATTATGCTTTTAATTATTGAATTAACCATTTATATTTGTTTCTAATTTGACTGGCTCTATCAGATTTTAAAGACAATTATTATTACGACATTCTTATAATAAATAAAAGTTTTGGTAAATGTAAATAACTTTAACTCCGGCGTGATTCAATTGAAATAAATTTTAAACGATAGAGAGGGATCAGTAATGAATTTATCAACAAGCAGAATTTGGCGGTCGCTTGTAGTTTTCGAAAAAATAAATAATGAAATAGTGTGATTTTTACTATAGAAATCCGCCATTTTTTTTGTTGTCAATATGTCAATTCAGCTGGTATTTCTTGGTGGTCATAAAAAAAAAACCTAACATCGAAGGTTAAGCTTCGCTCCCGCCGGAACCTTCTAACCTAATCTATCCGAGTCGGATTCGCTCTGTGTCGGTTCTGTGACTCATTAAATTAAAAAAAAATCGGAATATCGATACGTGTATGATGTCGCCCGCTTCCTATATTTATCACGTTGGCAAAACTGTGTATTGAGTTTTTGAAGTCAAACAAATAAAATGGTGGATTTCTTAGTACAAAAAACAATTCTGCTTTTTGATAAATTCAGTGATTTTTCTCTATCGTTTAAAATTTATTTGATTTGAATTACGCCGGAGTTAAAGTTATTTACCTTTACCAAAGTTATTTACATTTACCAAAGTTTTAAGTACAGGAATGTCAATTAAAATTTATATTCTGTTATTCTGTGTTGAATCATACGTCATCATCTTCAGTAATCTAAAATTTTTAGTCACCGTATATTCGGTTAAACGACTTTTTGCATCATCAATATGCTAATACTAAGCTAAGAATGAATATATTAAGCTTACCGGTGGACCACAGTCCTCATATTTATAGCAGACCATAGGACCACACGGCGAACACCTAATAAAATATAATTCATATTAATTTCAACAAGGTCATATTAATGAAGGACAATGTAAAAAATAATGAACATTTTACTTACATTTTCACGTTGTAATGAGCAAAGGCGATTGAAGAGGGCGACTTTTTGTAGTTTTAGTACAAAAGTAATGTTACTATTTTACTTAAAAATTTTGTAATTATTTATTCCACTTTGAATTTTATAAAAAATACATGTGTTCAGGATGAAGCAATAACTTCTTTTGTAAAACCAATTCTTCTTTCAATTTATTTGTTGTTCTTTTTATTCAAACTTCAGTTTTTACTTCTGCGTGCCAGTAACAATAATTTATTTCGTGCCAGGAATATTTGAATGAATTAAGGCTGTTTACATACTTAGCGTTTTCTTTCCGGAAGTTCAGTGAAGTTTAATTTTAACTCTACATTTCGTACGAACATTAGCAATTTTATTTATTTTTCTTGGTTCATTAACTGTTTAAAATTAAATCCACTATTAACATCTTCGCATTTTACAAATGCTGTTCAACGCTTCTGCGTGAGGGTTTGAGCTATGTTTAAGACATGCCCTGTTTGCTGGCCCGCATACCGGTGCCGGCAACACCTGACAGTATGGTGATGTTTGACAACCACTTCGACGACAATCGTACTGTAGCCCATTCCTCCGCAGGCAGAAACAGTCAGTGTAAAGAATACCGCCCCTTAACTCCCGGCTTTGACATCCCTTTACAGGTACACAACACTGCATTTTGATATCGATTTATCTGTAAAGTCCCAAACAAATGAGAAAAACTTCTGTGCTATTCATAAATTCAAGAATGTATTCATGACGTACTTGGATACTGAAATTTAGACTAGAAATATTTTTAGAATAAATTGATCTAAACTTTCATTTTAACGATAATGCACTGAACAATTTTATGTTTACAAGCTTTCTAGATGGTGTCGCCCGTTCGATTCATAAAAATAAACACATAAATCTATACCCGTGCGTTAGATTTAATTCTTTTGTAATAACAAGTCGGCAATTTTACTTCCCATAAGGCATTATCGCTTATAGTCGGAAGCGTAATCAAATTTATAGTTCTGTTGTTTTAATGTATATCGATGAGATGTGAAAACAGCAATGTACTTGCTGCGTATGGCTCCCTAGGTGGAACATTCAGTTCTACAAGGGAGGGCAGCTCAAACCCTGTTTTGACATCGAAGTTACATCTGAAAATCAAACTTTAAATTTATAAGATATATATATCCGATCGCTATAAAACGGCGCTGTCTGGACTTCCAAAATGCAGGCTCCAGGCGCTGCAGGACCTCACCCTTCAAGCGATATAAGTGATCTTAAATTAAAGTCCATCAGTGACTTTGAGGTACGTTTGGCTTGACACATGTTTCATCAAACACGAAACAGCTAAATAACGCCAGCTGTAATTAATCAATCATTACTCTTTTAATGTATAAAGAGATAATGTATTGTGGTAGGGACACACAGCAGATTCTGTTGCTGCACGAATAGGCAGGGTCATCCAGGGAAGTACTGTGGCCTGACAGAAGTCTGACGTAAAGTGGAAGTAGTTTTCGTTTTTCGTTTCGTCTGGTAAATGAGCTAACCGGGTCTCATTTGTATAGAAGACATCCACGGGTGGCGGGACCAATATCAGGTGAACCGCTTGCTCGTCTGCCACATCGTGTAAAAACGCACGCTTTGAAATATGAATTTAACTTGTGATACGAAATAATACATTTATTCAATATCTTACATTTTAAACAAGCTGTAATAAAACGAGCGTTTTATAAACGTCTTTGAATTCTGGCAGATAAAATGCTACGAGGTAGAAGTCAATTTTAACTTAAGAATTTTCTTTGACAACCACAGGGGTATAAATAGGAGCGATTCTGAAAATTCAGTCAGTACAATCAAATCCTTTGCGAAAGAAGTATATAAAAAGAACAAAAAAACATTTGTAATACATTCTCATTTCTCTCAGTAATTAAGCAGTATTAATAGTGTTATTTTTTTGAGATTTGTACTACATACAAAAATCCATTAAGATGTTAGTATCGCTCGAAAAAATTATCGAGAAAAAATTTACTTATTAAATTATCTTACTCGGTAAATATTAATTTCAATTATGCTCTTATTTCAGGTGTTGCGGACCTTGCGGTGGATGCTGTGGTGGTGGCTGCGGTGGACCCTGTTGTCCCTGCATTACTATCTACACGTGCTGTACCAAGATCTGTTAACATGCATTCCGAAGAGTATAACCTTGTCATGTACACAATTTTCGGTGCTGTTACGTGAAATAAATGTTTTAAGCGTACATATTCTTTGATTGCCATTCCAACTTCACGTACTTATTCGTCACATGTAAGATTATGGATAACTTAATTCGTCACATGTAAGATTATGGATAACTTAATTAGATTTTTAATCACTATATAGTCTCAAACGGCAACTACCTGTGATGAGTTGACTTTATTATAATAGTTTCTTATTCCTGAAATCGTTACTCCAAAAATCACTGGTTACGAGGAACTTAAATCGAAGGCGCCAAAAATCCTAATCCCACAAAGTTAAATGAAAAATAAATCCTATATTCTTTATTGGAATCGAAGTATTCTTTATTGGAATCGAAGGCGCCAAAAATCTTAGATTATATGAGTTCCTTCCAAGCCGCTCTAAAAGCCGCTCTAAAAAAACAAAACCGACTTCAAATAAGATTGATTTTTTTGATTTCAGGAGTTTCCTAAGAATCTCCGGAGCCCAAGATCCAATGCCAATGAAAAAAAATTAATATAAGACCCACCTGCTTTCAAATAAAAAAAAAAATCGTCAAAATAGTTGTCTATAGAATATTCGTCGAGTATTTAAAATACGCGTAAATTGTGATTTTTGACTTTAATGTACTAAACATTTGATGTTTGTTTTAACAGCTGTGGTAGCATACAAATTTTACAAAAACTGTCACCGAAAATAAAACGCCCAGAAAGATCGGCTGTTTATGAGTAGTTACAAAGATTGTCACTGAAGTTAAAGTTATATAAATTATTATTGTGGGGATATGTTTTCTCGTTTGATAGGCTTTATAAATAAAAATAAGCATATAGAAATATATTGCATATATAGAATAAAAATTATAAATAAATATAAACATACAGATATAATACGTAATATAAATAGGATCCAACCAAACGGAAGCCCTCTGCAGGGGAGACCAAACGGCCGAGAGGGTAAAGGACCATTTACACGATGCCATTTTTATTATGATTTATTAGAGAGAGAAAAGATTGTCATGAAGTTCAACCACCTTATATAAATTGAGCTTGGAGGGGTCCCGGAGTCAGTTTCTCGTTTGATAGGCTTTATAAATAAAAATAAGCATATAGAAATATATTGCATATATATCGGGATAATTTCAGTCAACACACCACCACCACCCCACATGTCGGTCACCTCGTGAGCCAGGTCCACATATTTCGTCTTATCTGTTTCGGCTTTCACGAGGCTCTCGTCATATGGGATGGTAATGTCGACCAAAAATACCAGCGAATGTGCCCGGTCCATCAACACGATATCAGGTTTGTTGGCGAGAATCGACCTATCCATGATGGGCCGGTCCTAATAGAGCCTCGCGCGGGTCATTATGAAGCACGGCCTCTGGGTAGTACTTGTAGTACAGCAGGTTCCGATCCACGAGACCGTATTTCAGAGCGAGCTCCTGGTGTAGGATTCTGGCTACTAGGTTGTGTCTATACAAATAATCACAGTTAGAAATCATGAAACAAACGGAGATAACATGCCGAAGCGACTCCAACCTCGACAGATGTCAACAGTACCATCCCTTAGGATGTATTTCCGATAGTTGTTCGTCTTAATAACCTGATCCTGTATCGCACAGACAAAATTTCGGTTTCCCCAAAGAGTTCACCGAAAGGTAGCCAGTTAAGGGAGGCAACAATATCTACGAAAGGCTCGTGCAGAGCCTTGTATAACCTCCCGTGGAGGTCTTTCTCCTTCCATATAAGGAAATAATTCATGCCATGTAATAATTCATTTCATATAAGAAGCTTCTTGAAGTCTAAGGACTGAAAGAGTAACATCAGTTATACAAAAAAAAAAAAAAAAACAAAAAAAATGTTACACATTTTAAGTTGTATTACACATATTGGATGTTTTTATCAGTTTGAATCGATACAACCGAAAAATACAAATATTCATGTTTTATTCAGGGAGATTTTTTGGTATAATTGTTTTTATCTAAGAATTCTGTTCACGCGAAGCCTAAAATGGACAATGTCCGTCAACCGTATCCGCAATCCTCCTAAAATAGTATGGTTTCTTTCAGCCTGTTCCATAGAAACCATAAACTTCATAAATTTAATATCTACTTAACTTGACTAAGTTCAGTGTTCTTATTTTTCTTTTTGCCTTACGAGTCTCACTTCTTTTACTGTTTCAAAAGCTTGATTGACTCTGGTATGCGCTTTTAGGGTTCCGCACCCAAAGGGTAAAAGGGCACCCTATTTCTAACACTTCGCTGTCTGTCTGTCTGTCGTCTGTCACCTAGCACCAGGCTGTACCGTCATAGTTAGACAGTGTCTCATGAACCGTCATATTTAGACCGTTGAAATTTTCACAGATGATGTAAATATTTTTGTTGCCGCTAAAACAACAAATAATAAAATATGTGGGGTTCCCATACGACAGACGTGATTTTTTTGCCGTTTTTATAGATGGTACGGAACCCTTCGTGCGCAAGACTCGCAATTGGCCGGTTTTGTACGATTGTTCATATTGGAAGCGATCTTTCGATGTTTTTATCTGTACTGCGAGATAAACTTAAAAAATTGTCCTAGGCTGGATTCGTACTCTTTCGTATGATGATACAGAAAAACTTATAATTGCAAAATTGTTATAAATACACAATAGACTTATAGCATACATAATTTTTTCCTATAAATATTTATTTAATCTTTACAATATTTATCTACATCACACTTATTTATGTAATTTGAACGCAAAGTCCCGTTATTTTACTATTCCGTGTTTCAGTAAATACGCCAAATGAACCTTTCTATTTGCAGGCGAATTGAATAGTTTTATTATCAAAACGAAAAGATTTAGTGACGGATAAAGACGGTTATGTCAAATGGAAATCGGTGTCAAAATAAAAACATGTAGATTGTAGATATAACACAAAATATAAAATGATTTATATTTATCCGAGCCATTAACACTAAAAATTAAAGTTGATATGGCTTTCCAATGTGTTACAATATTTCAATAGCAAAACTTAGACAAAAAGAACAATAGAAAAACTTGTAATAATGTCACTCCACAGATTTTCTCAGACTTTGTCCAGAGCTCTACACTTAACACCAAGAACTTTAAAAGGTTTGGCTTACAGTACGACAGACAAGAGTGGATGTTGTTCTGATTCAGGTGGCTCAAGTTCGAAAAAAGACAGCAATACAATTTCCTCAGAGTGTAAAGATTCGAAATCAAAATCACCTACATTTTACGATGTTAGCACCTTTTTTAAGATATGATGTTAAAATGTCGATTTTTTTTAAACGTAGATTTTTAAATAGAATAGAATTAAAAAAAATATACCTATCGAATTTGAAAATCTCCTCCTTTTGTAGTCGGTTAAAAACAATGAAGAATAAATTGATTTTAGCCTATCTAATCATAATGGAATGAATACTTGTTGTCTACATTCGGCAACCGTATTGGTAGAGGTTTAGATTTTAGGGTGAAATTTTACAAATTTAAATACAGCTAGAGCGCTACAATATCACTGTGTTGTGAAGCCTGTCATACACGCAATAAACAAATGCTTTCTTACTGATGTAACATATTAACTTAACATATTATTTATTTTACTACATACTACTTATGATTACTACAATAGATTACTTTTGTAATCTTATCATAATTACTAAAATCGCAATACTTCTATTTACGCATTTTCCAGTGTAGAAAATTGGGCCACAATTTGCCAACTAATAAAGTGAAACCTGACTTTGAAACGCTTAGTGACATACCTACAGGTATCTTCCGATGTACTGCAGACGAGGTATGTGAGCTTGCTTATTTTTGAGAAAAATAATTTGCTCTGAATATTTATATTTATGGGCAGGCTGGTTCGGTGAAGTACGTAAACAGGTGTACTTTGGTATTTGGCCGGGTAAGGATCCGGGGCCCACTCTTAAAGATTGTCAACATGTCGGCAATCCTACAGGTGTTGCAGGTGTTAGTACATAGGTGGTTATAATGCCTTTACCATTAACTTCTTGTCATTTACCACACAAAAAAAGCATTATTAGAGTAGCAAAATGTTATGCCTTTTGAGCATAAAAGTTCTCTACCTTCATAGGGTGACAACTCTAATGTCCGGCGCTCGTTTTTATTCAATATACAAGAGCAACAATAGTTCAAATGTCGGCAGTAATTAAATTTTTAATTTTAGTTACTTAGTGTTGACTTATCACCCGCGTATCAGGGCGAAGGAAAACATCGTGAGGAAACCTGCGTAATTTCGAACATAGTATGATAACTGTTTTATTGTAAATGAGTAAAGAAGACTTGTTTAGTTGTATAAACTTTATTTGATCACTTACATGATATGCACGTTGGGCGTTGACAAGAATAAGAAGGAAGTAATATCTATGAACGACCCAATATATAGTAATAATCATAGACAATAATGTTACATGCCCCTTTTTTACAAATGAAAATAACTATCGTTGACATTTGACAATGACAAGTAATTTGTTTGTTTGTTAACAATTTTTAAAAAACAATTAAATTAACAATCAAAGCTTAAGACTAATGAAATGAGGGAAATATCTTTTATTGACTAACATATAGTTTTAATTTTTAAATACATTTCCCTAAAAGTGAAATGAATGTGACAATCTTATACAATGAAATACAATGAAGTGTTTACAAACTTATTCTTATAACTTTGAACTAAAATACAAATTATAAATATAACACATTTCTTTTCTTTATTAATCTTCCTCGACTACTATACTTAGGTGGCTGAGTATTACTATGATTTACATTTTCTTTTGACTTAAAATAACTTGTTACAATCATACTATCATCCTCTTTATCTAACAAAGAATTATTTGACATATTAATATTACTAGGCTTGGTGTGATTGTCTGACTCTGATGGTATGTATGCTGATTGTGATGATTGTTTGTTGTATCTTTGACGGATGTGTTGTGAATTCCTTCTGTAAGTAGTGCCATATTCATCTTTTATAATATATGAACGGGGAAAGTTGG